AGAAGCTGTAAGACACATCAAATCAAGAGGACTTCAGGTTGAGTGAGGCCCTCCTACCCATGGAGGACAGTGTGGGGGTGGCAGCAGGGAAGTGTCTCTCTGAAGAATCACAAAAGCCAAGAGCACCTGGGAGAGGAAGAGTCCACCAGGAAAACCTGCTGGGTCAGAGAGATCCACACCGCCTCTCCTGCCTCCTCAGCTCCCTTTTATCCTAGAAGAACCACAGGTAGACCCCTGAGTGAAGGAGGGTGCTGGGAGGTCTGGAGGGGGAAATAGAGAAGCCCACCAGGTCACCCTTTCTTAACTCAGGTGAGCCAGTCCACAGCAGGCCTAAGTGGAAGAGGGGGAGATTATTTTACCTTAAAAAATTTGGAAATTTTCATTCTTATTAGAGTAAAGCAAATAACATTGGTAATATTCAACCATGTATGACTCACAAAAATGGCAGTTCCACATGGTTACACTCAATGCATGAGAGTGGATTTCTAGATTACTGAACTGAGATTGTTTAGGGGTTTTAAGCGACCAAGAGAATTTTATTACCTGGGAGTGACTAACAAAGCCATGAGAATTCCCCCAGACTTCATTCAAGGGTGTGGGGGAAGAGCTAGCTCCATAGAGACAACTTGAACATGAAAAGAATAAACTTTGCATCCAAGAATAAACTTGTTTTCTGCCTTCACCCCATAGGTCCCATCGGTTCAACAAACTGGCTACACTTAATTTTCTACGTATTTATCACCAGTTGACCCACAAAATCTGACAATAGAAATCTCTTCTCAATAGATTCAAACACACCAGGCAATCTCTAAATTTTTTAAAAATCTTTTCTGTGCTTGCTTGCTTGCTTCCTTCCTTCCTTCAGATGTTGACCTGATATTTTCCATCATATATGAGAGGGATGGATAATGCTTAGACATAAGGCAGACAGATATTGGATGAGGCAAGCATGTTATCTCACAGCTACAGCTGTTGCATGCCTAGATCAAAGACCATGCACATATTACTTAGATTAAATGTCCTCCACATTTAAAAGAATAGTATTACCCAAGGCAAATGAAGTATACCCATGAAGCGAAAGCTTTTGGAGGGTGTGGGCATGAACTGAGCTTTGAAAAGGAACCAGCTGGCTTGACAAGTTTTTGTTTACAAGCCCTAGGAGAATGCAAAATAAACTGCTAATGGAGTGGGAGAAGGAACATCCCTTGGTTATCATCAGCATTTAGGAGAAAAAAAAAAGAGAATCATAGCTCACTTAATGTTGTGATAAGGGATTGTCATGGTAAGGAGCTCAGGTTTTGGTTTCAGTTGGACTTGGGTTCAAATCCTGCATTGGCCACTCATTGGCTTCTTTGGACAAGTCAGTTAATAACAATAAATACCATTTATGGAGCACTAACTATATGTTGGGAACTGTTTCAAGTGCTTTACATGTATTAATTAATTTAACCCTCAACAATTTTATGAGGTAAATATTATAATTTCCTCCATTTTATGGATATAGAAACTGAGGCACTGGGGTAGTTAAGTCACTTGCCCCAAATCAACACACATTTATTAAGTGGAGGAGCTGTTTCCAACAGAGCCTGCCATATAATCTCATATCTCTCCACTTAATTCCTTTTCCTGTTTGACTTAGCCAGAGCTGGTTTCCAAACTCTAAGTGATACAATAAATTACAGGGTGTTTTGTGTGTGTTGTCACACAAGCACAAAGAATTTAGGGCTGAATAAATGGTAGATATTATGCATATTCAGTGAGATATAAGGAAGATCATTAAGTGAAGAAAAGATTGTTAAAGTGAGTTACTTGAGAAAGTCTGAGACCTCATTGGAAACTGGTGTACATATTTTTTTCAAACAATCTCAAACTTACAAAAAGTTGTAAATATGGTTCTGATAATTTTTTTTTATCCTGAACCATTTGAGAGCAAATGGTAACTTGATACTTCATCACCCCCAAATATTTAGTGTGTATTTCCTACAAGGACTTTCTTCTATGCAATACAATCATCCAGATAAGAAAGTTAACATGATACAGTACTGTAATCCTCAGACCCCTTTCAAGTCCTGCCAATCCCAATAACATCCTTTTACAGCAAAAAGATCTTTGTGTTCAGATTGTTCTGTCTCTGCGGTCTCCTTCAATCTGGAACAATTCTTCAGTTTTTCCTTGATACTTTTGAAGGTTGCAGGCCAATTATTTTGTAGCATGCTGCTCCATTTGGGTTTAACTGAGATTTCCTCATGATTAGATTCAGGTTATACACCTTTGGCAGGAAAATCAAACACCAAAGAAGCTGTGTTCTGATTGCATCCAATCAGGTGGAACACAATTTTGATTTGTCCCTTTGCTGATGGTGTTCACTTTGATCATTTGTTAAGGTGGCTTCACACCTTTTTTCCTTTTACTTATGAAGTATTTTGTGGAGAGATACTTTGAAACTGGTAAACATCCTATTCCTCATGAGACTGTCAATTTATTTATTTTTCTCATTTATTCAATGGGTTATAATCTGTTACTTTATTTATCTACCTGTTTTAATTGAGATATAATTCACATACCATCAGACTGACCTTTTAAAAAACTATGCCATGACTCCAACTTAGTTTTAAAAAGATAAAGAAATCAAGGGTCAGAAGCAAAAATGAGGTAATAAGATCAGTACAATGGATTTTTATATATGCATACATCTTACTTGAATTTATAAAACAAGAAAAAGGATCAATTAGGATTAGATTTGTGGCATGTGACAACAAAACAAAACAACGTGGAAGATAATTTGGCTTCATTCATAATTGAACTCTTGAGGTCAGTAGTTCAAGACCACGTGTGTGGACTTTTTGTTCCATTAAGACCTTAGTAATGCAGGCTCCTTCTAGCTCACTAACTCACCATCCTCATTCTCCTAGTCCCAGGTAGCAGCTAGATTGGCAGCCATTCCATCCAAGTTTGTTTCCGTTTTGGAGGCCTGGCATTTGTTCTTTCTTCCTAGAAACTTTTGTTTAGTGCCTCTGTTTCCACCTTCGGGTCTCAGCTTTGAAATGTGGCCGCCTCTCTGGAGCAAGCTTCCCTGAGGACAGGCCCTGGTCCCGCCTATCAACCTGTCTTCTTTTCTTCCTCTCTCTTATCACCTGCCTGTACTGGTTCCACAACCTACCAAGTGTGTGACCGTGGGCAAGTTCCTTTAATATCCCTGTGCCTCAGTGTCTTCATCTGTAAAATGGGGATTAACAGCACCAATAGGGAGGGTCCACTTCAAATGCAAGGGAATGATTGGCTCTGGGGAAAGAGAAGTGAGGCAATGAGTTGGTGGGATCCACAGTGCCTGTCTTTGTTCCAGAGACTGGAGCAAAGTAGCTTAATAACTATTTGCAGAATTAATGAAAATATTATGTTAGTAAACCGATCAGGAGTTGGTGCCACTGTGTAGGGGTAGAATATTGCTAAACATTATTTATTAACATGCACCTTGACTCTCTGAGAATAAAATCACTTGGGAATGTTCTGCTTTGAAGTGGGGGGAGGGCTGTATTCTCCTAAATACAGCTGAAGTTCTGGGGCTGATGTCAGACCCCCAGGAGAAAAATAAGAAATCTTTTTTCCGTATTTCTGGTCTGATCTTCTTACATTTTGGTTTGGAAAGGAGATAAGAAATTAAGTGGGGATGGTGAGGAGGAAGGGTGTAGTAATAGGCAAGATGGGCTTTACAAGCAAGCACAACAAATCTCCAAAGCTCCTAACATCTTTGACCCCCAAGGATCTCACAGGACTTGCTCATTCTTGGGCAAGGTGGTCAAGATTTCCCCATCTCTCCAGACTTCATCAACTGCAAGTAAGACATGAAGGCAGCCTGGAATTGGCATCACCTAGTAAATGTGTAATGAAGCTGCAGCCCCTAGGGCCCATGTGTGACACAGAGAGATGTGCAGCACTCACAGAACACAGGTTGGCAGGACCAGGATCAAGGCAAGTATACATAAGTCGATGTCGAATATGTCTTTAGCCATAATAAGTCCAACAGATCATGGTGGCATTCTGGGAAGGATGGGATCTTATCTGTAGGTGGAGAGAGCCACAGTCAGTTTGCTAAAGGAAGCTGCATTTCCAAGGAGTTTTATTTCCTTGGGAATGCTACACAAGCCCTCCTGAGAGCAGATGTGTTTCTTTAAAAAGTGCCTTAGATCTTGGTACATTGTGTGATCATTTCTTTCATTCATAGTGCATTCTTCCTCAAATCGAAAAGAGTGACAATGCTTTATCCCCCCATTATAAATATTTGGTTAGTTTTTTTTTAATTGAGTATTATGGATAACTATAAAGAAGCAACTAAAAATCATCTATAATTTCACCTTCTGGAGATAAATGTGGTCAACTTTTGGTATATGTACCTCTTGACTGTGACACAGATTTCCTGTTGCCCTCAACAGCCCTTATCCTTGGTAGCAGAACTCTAGATTTTTAGTTGGGCATATGGCTGCTCACAATAAAACCTACATTTCCCAGCTCCTTGCAAGTAGTGGGCCCACAGACTAAGTTCTGGCCAGTGGATGGAAACAGAATTTATTTGTATGACTTCCTGGAAGTGTGATTAAGGGGAGAATACATGCTCTTCTTTCCCTGTCCCTTCCTTCATGCTTATTGGAATGAGGCCTGACAGCTGGTGCTGCAGCAGCCATTCTGGACAGTGCAGTAGTAGAAGGCACGTGATGATGATGTGGAGCAAGAGGGTGGAAAGATCCTGGGTCACTGATGACTTTGTGAAGCTACCCTATCTGCCTTTTTATTAAAAAGAGAAATCAACTTTAAATTTATTTGATTCAGTCCACATTCACCAAGTTTGGCAATAAATCCAATGTCAACTACTTTGGGGGGCTCTTTCCTATCTCCTGGAATCATGCAAAAAAAAAAAAGAAAAAGAATAAAACCAACAAACCAGGTTCCCATTAAATATAAGCAGCAGAAAATCACAGTCAGAATCCGCTCTAGCTAGCATGGCAGCAGAGGCCTCCGGTCTTCTGGTAAGAGGACAAATCATGATGTCTGGAGCCAGCAGTGGCATTACTGGTGTCTCAACCACAGGAGATCTGTGGAGCAATGTGGCCATACTTTCTGGATATAGCCTTTAGGTCTGGACAGTATATATCCATCAATATATAGAGAGATCTCTGTATAGCTATATAGAAACAGACAGATACAGAGGGACAGAAAGATATTTTATTATAAGGAATTGGATCATGTGATTATGGAGTTGGTAAGTCCAAAATGTGTAGAGCCGATGCCCTAGTCTGACTGTCAAGTCTGGAAGTTGCTGTAAGGATCGGGAAGAGCTGATGTAGCAGCTCAACAAAGGCTGTCAGACAGAGACTCTCTCACTCAGTGAAGAGTCAGTCTTTTGTTCTAGTCAGGCCGTCAATGGACTGGATAAAACTCCCTCACATTAAAGATGGCAAATCTGCTTTACTCAGTCTAGTGATTTAAATATTAATGTCATCCAAAAACAGTCCTACAGAAACACCCAGAACAATGTTTGACCAAATATCTGGGAATATTGTGGCCCAGTCAAATCGACACTTAAAATTAACCATCACACTGACCAATATAAACAGCTCTCTGGGATTGGATTACTTACCCAGCTTCAACTCAAAGCACCAGCTTCCACCCCTGTCCCGTGTTAGGGTCTGCATCCCCACATAAACATTAGGCCACACGCCTCTCATAACCTTGATGCCAAAAACCTCTTTTCCTTTCTCCTCTGGGTCTTTCAGCTTAACATTCAGTTTCCCCTCTTTTAGTTGATGAATCCCCAAGCAGCAAAAAGCACAATACTGATTATTTCCATAATACCTCATCCATATTTCACACATAAAAACAGAATCTTACTATGCATGTTGTTTTATAGTCTGCTTTCTTAAGATATCTTAGATATTATCCTATGTCACCGTAAATGAAGCTACATATTTTTAAAGGCTATAGTTTTCCATTGTAGGAATGACCACGATTGTGCGAACTATTTCTTTATTGTTACACAGGAGGGTCATTTACAAGTTTTTCCACCATTAGAAATAGTGCTTTGATATGCACATGATTGTGTGTACTTGCCTGGATATGTATTTCTTGGCTTATGCATCAAAGTTCAGTTATGACACAGAAACTATACTAGTTATTTGAACACAGAAAATTTAACTTAAAGAATTGTTAAACACCCTAAATAGCCAAAGCAATTTGAGAAAGAACCAAATTGGAGGCATCACAGATCCTGATTTTAAACTACATTACAAATCTATAGTAAATTAAAACAGGATGGTACTGGCATAAAAACAGATACATAGATCAATGGAACAGAATAAAGAGGTCAGAAATAAACCCATGCATATATGCCCAATTAATTTACGTCAAAGGAGCCAAGGATATACAGTGGGGAAAGGACAGTCTCAAATAGTTTTGGGAAAACTGGACAACCACATGTAAAACAAGGAAACTGGGCCACCGTCTTACACCACACCATACACAAAAACTAACTCAAAATGAATTAAACACTTGAATGTAAGACCTGAAACTATAAAACTAGAAAAAAACATATGCATCAACTTCCTTGACATTGGTGTTGGTGATGATTATGGATTTGATACTAGAAGCAAAGTCAACAAAAGCAAAAATAAACAAGTGGGATATCATCAAACCAAAAAGCTTCTGCACAGCAAAGGAAACCTTTACAAAATGAAAAGGCAAACTGCTGAGTGGGAGAAAATATTTGCAAATCATATGTCTGATAAGGGCTAATATCCAAAATATACAAAGAACTCATACAACTCAATAGCAAAAAACTAAACAATCTGATTAAAATATGGGCAGAGGAACTGAACAGACATTGCAAAGAAGACATACAGATGGTCAACAGGTACATGAGAAGGTGCTCAACACCACAAATCAGGGACGTGAAAATCAAAACCACAATAAGATAGTACCTCACACCTGTTGGAATGGCTATTATCAAAAAGACAGGAAATAACAAGTGTTGGCAAGGACGTGGAGAAAGGGAATCCCTGTGCACTGTTGGTGGGAATGTAAGTTGGTATAGCTACTATGGAAAACAGTATGGAGGTTCCTCAAAAAATTAAAAAGAAATCAAGGTATTTCTCTAAAGGAAACAAAAACACTAACTTGAAAAGATATCTGTGCCTCTATATTTATAGCAGCATTATTAATAATAGCCAAGACATGGAAGCAACCTGTGTCCATCGATGTATGCTTGGTAAAGGAGATGTGGTATATATATACAATGGAATATTATTCAGCCATAAAAAAGTAACTCCTGCCATTTGCAACTACATAGGTGGAACTTGAGGGCATTATGCTAAGTGAATTAAGTCAAAGACAAAGACAAATACCACATGATCTCACTTATATGTGGAATCTTAAAAAAAAAAAAAACCCCACTCCCCCAAGAAAACTCAAAAGTGAACTCACAGACAGAGAACAGTGGTGGTTGCCAGAGGGAGGAGGGCTGGGGGTGGGTGAAATGGATGAAGGTGGTCAAAAGGTACAAACCTGCAGTTATAAAATAAACGTAAGTCATGGCAATCTAATATTTATACCATGGTCACTATAGTTAATAATACTGCATTGTATACTTGAAAGTTGCTAAGAAAGTAAACCTTGAATGTTCTCATCACAAGAAAAAATTTGTATCTATGTATGGTGATAAATGTTAACTAGATGTATTATGGTGATTGTTTCACAATATATATAAATATCAAATCATTATGTTATACACATGAAATGAATATAATGTTATATATCAATTATATCTTAATTTAAAAAAAGGAATTGTAAACCAGGTCAGTTAGTCATTTATATCTATATTAAAAACTGCCTCCAAAACTTAGTGGCTTAAAATAAGCAGCTAGTATCTTACAGTTTCTATAGATGAGAAATTCAGAAGTGGTATAGCTGCAGGGTTCTGGTTCAGGGTGTCCCATGAAGTTGTGATCAAAACATCAGCAGGGCTGCATTCATCTGAAGGCCTGACTGGGGCTGGGGGATCCACTCCAAGATAGTTCCTTTACATGACAGAGGCTTCAGTTTCTTACTGGCTGTTTGCAAGAAGCTTCAATTCCTCATTAGTGGTCCTCCCCTATAGGTTGCTTGAGTGTCCTCAACACATGGCAGTTAACTTCTCTCAGAGCATGTGACTCAAGAAGAAGAGCAAAGTGAAAGCCACTATGATTTTTTTTAACAAATATCTATTTAATAATATCAAACAATTAACAA